TCACAGATTGTTAAAAAAGAATAAGTGTGAAACCAAAATTTACAAACGCAAGTAAAAATATATTGCGCAAAACTTAAAGCTACATTTTCAGAATAGCAAACAATGATCACGGATAGAAAAATAATAAGAATAAATAAAAAATGTAATAACATGTAAAAAAAATAAATAAGCATGAATCAAAACTTTAAACACATTTAAAATCATATTGCACAAAACTGAAATATTAATGCAAAATTATCCGAATTGCACACAAAATCATGTTTTCCTTGGTTATATTTCTGTTTTTTGTGCTCTCAGACATTTTCTGCACATATTTTTATTTTTTGTATGCTTATGCTGTTTTTCCCTTCACTTTTTATTCCACGTTCTGCGCGTCTTCTTCCAAATGTTGCGGTTAGAGTTTCATGTAAATCAGGGCGGATAGTGCTACAGAGTAGACAGTTAACAGGTTAGAGGCCAGGTGGATTTGATATACACAATGATTTATTTGCATATTGTGTTTATATACATAGCTACATATATAATTGGTAACACTATCATATTAATGTTTCAAATATATAAAGTTTGAACATAACAACAATATGAAAGTAAAACAGCCAGTAAATTGCAGCAAGTTACTGTCTTTAGAATAAGATATTAAATCATTCATTAATGGCTGATTCATTCAGTGACGAATAAAGCGAATCATTCAATACGAAAGGCTGCTGTGTTGCTTGTAGAGGACACTGTTCTGCTGTGGCTTTGTTTGGACTCGTCGTCAAAATAGAGCAAAATGAGAAAATAGTTACTATTAATAGTAAAGCTTTGTTTGGACTCTTCGTCGAAATAGAGCAAAATGAGAAAATAGTTACAATTAATAGTTACTATTCTTCCTCTTAACACTCTTCCTCGTGTTTTGCTTAACTGTATGTCATAAAATAAATTATAGTGCCATTCTTTACAAACAACATTGATTTTAAATGCTAAGCCTATAACTCATTTAAAACGAAACTTAAAAACTGAACCTCCGGCTGGGCTCACAACCCTCTCATTTCCATGAGTGAATCGTTAGATGCGGTGTAACATTTGGTTGATAAACTATTAGCCTATTTATTTTGTTAAGAAGGCTTTGTACTTCTCTCGTATCTGAATATCTACTTAAACAACATCCTTCACATATGCAAAAAATATGTTTGGAAAACACCACGGCACGGTGATGCTCGCGCTGACCGGCAAAACCTACATATTTTAAAAAAGACAAGCTAAATTGAGTCACCAATACCTTTTGTATGTTTAGCTGTCTCATTTACTTTGATGATGAAGAGGCTGCGATGTAAAGATTGCAATGCTAGAATTGATTATGTTGTGTGCGCGCGGGAGGCGCCGGTGCGAACACTTGGGTTACTCGCATCAGCGGAAAGATGTGATAGATAAGAGCAAGACATCATTCAAAATTAAAGTTTTGAGTCGTGCTTATTATTTTTTAAAATGCGTTATTAAATGTTTGATTTACACATATTATTTTTTGATCCGTGACCATTGTTTGCTATTCTGAAAACTTTGCTTTCATTTTTAAAATTTTGTGCAATATAATTTTACTTGCTTTTTTCAATGTTGGTTTCACGCTTGTTATTTTTTTATCCGTGACTGCAATACATTTGGTAGGAATCTGATCCCATATCGGTTAAACAAGCTATGCGAACTAAGTGAAAATTATGTTTTGCTTAAAAGGAGGTGAGAATTTATGCGATCCTCGTTTGTGAGAAAAAATACTTTCCATACTTGTAAATCCCATGGTGTATCCTCGATCAGGAGTCCATTGGAAGCTTCTTTACGCCTTGCAGTGCATTTAATGAATATCGTCTTCATGTTGTTTGATTTTCAGGTTACGCGCTAGCTAGAGGACAGACCAGCCAGAAAACAAGTAAGCATCAATTTGAAACACCCAACAACTGAACTGAATCTCTTGCGAATTTCTTGTGGAGATGGTTTGAACAAATGAATGGAACATGGAAAAGCTTTTTAGCCAAGAGATCTAAGTAGCTAATAATACATATTTTAAATGCAAATTATTTGTAAGTTTTAAATTTTGTGTTTAATGAGCTGAATCACTGCTGCAAACAAACTAACCGAAAATGCATGGCATTACAATAAACACACTTAAGACAAATATTAAATCAAAATAAACAGCTATAGGTACCGACATATGGTATTTTTGGAACATGTAATCCACCACAACGGGATGTCAGGGACCACGTTATGATAATAGAATCACTGAACACTTTTTGAACCAGTTCTTTGAAACAACTCGTTCGAAAGAACCGACTTGCAGAAACGATTCGGACTTCCCCTCCCTAGTGGTTTTGTGGTTTGCGGAAAGGCACTGCGACCAATCATCTAAGGAATTTGAGCTGACCAATCATGTGTGAGATATGGTAATTTGGAACCAATCAGCGTTAGAGATTGGGCTGTTTGAAAATCTTTCAGGAAGTGTATATCCGCTTTGACGCGGACGTAAACAAACGTAGTTTAGCAATCTAAACCTCGTTGTGACTAGAGAGATTGTACTGTAGTACAATGCGTTTCTCTGCCGCCTAGATCTAGAACGATCTGATATCCGGTAACAGGTAAGAATGGTTTTATGGCATGCTTAGTAAAAAAAAAACTGGATCCTATTTTAGTTAGTTAGCTAGCTAGCTCTCTAATGAGAAAGGTAGAGCTTTTCTTAGCCTCTTCTAACAGAAACGTAAAATGAGCTGGAATTACTGTGATTTTCATCCATAATGTTAATTTGAAGGGCTTTCCCGTTTTTGTGATCAATAAACTCTTAACTTGTAGATACTGCTAATGTAATACAGGTGCAAACAGGCTACAGCTAACTTAGCTAGCTAGACAGGTGCAGGTCGTCTGTTAAACATCTGCTGTAGCCTTCACTGCAGGTGCTGACTCTTTGTTATCATTTTAAATCAACAGGACCTGGCGTTTTGTTAGGAGCTTTACTTGAGAAGATCTCAGCTCAACAATGTCTACTTCAAATTTCAAGAATAAGTGTGTGACGCAAGTCAACTGTATATACTGTGACAGTCTGCTGTGCATGAGAGGAATGAAAGCAGTACTTTTGGCTGATACGGAAATAGAGTTGTTCTCAACCGACATACCACCAAATAGGTGAGGTTTCCGTGATCAGATTTCACATATTGTATATAAACGTGGTCATCATAATCTTTCTGTTGGATCCCTAATAGTCTGTGTTGTTTTCCCCATTTAGGACAGTTGATTTTGTGGCAAGCTGCTATTCCACTGAAAGCTGCAAATGCAAATTAAGAGACATTGCTTGTTTGAAATGGTAAAGTTTTTATAACTATTAGGTTTTACTCGTATTGTTTAGGATAAAAAAAGTGTATGGAATTATAACGTTTACTATTAAGAAATATGGTAATATACAGTACCGTTCAAAACTTTAGGGTCAGGAATTTAAGGAAATGTATATTTTTGTTTAACGCAAGGATGCATAAAATTGATCAAAAGTGATAAAGGCATGTATAATGTAATACAAAAGATTTCTATTCAAAATTAAAAAGCTGTTCTTTTAACTTTCTATTCATAAGAAAATAATGAACAAAATGTATCTCTCATGCCACAAAATGAAACAGCACAGCGGTTTTCAACATTAATAATAATAATAAGCAAAGTTTATTGACCAATAAATATTAGAATACTTTTCAACATATTAGAATAATTTCTGAAGGATCATGTGACACTGAAGACTAGAGTAATGGCTGCTGAAAATTCAGCTTTTGCCATCACAAGAACAAATTCCATTCTAAGATGCATTACAATAGAAAACAGTTATTTTTTAAAAGTTCACATTTTTACAGTTTTTCCCCGTCCTTTCACATTAAAAATATTACCAAACTTGTAGGTTGGCATCAAACTTGTTTAGGTAATGTTCAGTCCATTGTTAACACTGAGCCATTTGCTGTTCTGTTTCATTGTGTCTCACAAAGCATTTGAGTCGGGTGTTTTTGTTTGTCTCTCTGGCTCTTTCTGCACACTCAGTGGGAATGTTGTGGGATATCACGTGGTGGCCCCATGCAAGCCCTGCTTGCTGTCCTGCAACAATGGTCATTTCTGGATGTTCAACAGTGAGGCTGTGTCCACTATCAATAGACTGGATGCAACAGGTTTGGGACGTCTGATGCAAAAACACTGTCTGTGCCCTCTGCTTATGGTCAGACAGGTTTTGCATACCATTGTTTCAAAGATTATCTGCTCATAGCCATCAAAAAAAAATCCTATATAAGCACCCATAGATTGTAACAGACTTTGACATGGAATTTTAAAACTTAAAATGTGTATAATTCTGCTTGAAGAGCAGTAGCATCTAGGTTCTTTCTTCTTACTGACATTCTTCTTTATCATTTTATCATGACTGATTGAAACCCAGACAAAAAGCACCTTCTGTTTTTCACAAGTATGAGCCATTTCTTGTGTACTTAAGAGAAAATTAAGCTTAACTAGACATGCACTACTGTTAAAAAGTTTGGGGCCAGTAAGTGTTTTTTTTTGTTGTTTTTTTTAAGTTGTTCAAAAGTGACAGTAAAGAAATGTGTAGTATTTATGAAAGTTTTAAAAAATGCTGTTCTTTTGAACTTTTCTGCAGAAAATATTAAGCAGTTCCACAAAAATATTAAGCAGCATAACTGTTTTCAACATTGATAATAAGAAATATTTCTTGAGCAGCAAATCAGCATATTGAAGACTGGAGTAATGGCTGTTAACGGTTCTTACAGACCCCAAAACTTTTTAATGGTAGTGTAACAATTGCATTTCGGACATGTGTTAAAAATGCTTCAAACATAAATAATACAAGTCTGTCTCTTTCATAGGGCAGAACCTGCTGCTGTGGGGAGATCTTCCAGAACTGGAGGGCAGTGATGACGAGAGCCTGGACTGTCTCTCAGAAGAAGAGTACCTCAGATAGAAACACACATGTCTAAAGGAAGTAGACTCTGACGGTAGCGAAAAAGTTTACTTTCACTCACATAAATCTCCGTTTAAAGCACATTGTCTTCTCTTTAGCTGACTGGGAATAGGCAAAAGGAAAAAAAA